CAACTCAAAAAAAAAACAAAAAAAAAAAAACAAGCATTGGGCTAGCTTTCTGCCTCTTTGGACAATCCTAGGCCCTCAAAGTGAGAGACCTGAGCAAGGCCAGCTCCCTCACTCAGGCCTCACTGGCCCCAGCACCTGGGCTCAGACCCTGCCTTCTGTGCCCGAGGCCTCTAGAATGAAGGACCAACCTCCCTGTCCCCAGCCTACATTGGTGTCTCTGTACTGGCCTGGCTGGGTGGGAGCCCAGACCCTCTCTCGTCAGACAACAGGGTTCCAGGTGCAGCTGGGAAGTTTTCCCACTGAGTGTGTAGGAGGCCAAACCTTGGAGAGGAGCCCATTGACCGCAAGTGGTGGCAGGGGTGGAGAGGGAGGGAGGAGCACGTCCACACCATGACCGCCCCTCCCCTCCCATGCTGGGTCTGCCTCTGTTCCCAGAAGATCCCTGTTTCCCTTAAAAGGCTCTCTCTGGAGCCTTTTCTCCCACAAAGCCCAAGCATGTCTGCCAAGTAGTAGTGACTACATTTATTAAGCATTTACTGTGTGCCAAGCACAGGGTGCACTCTGTCAGCCCCCATCCCGTGGAAGTGGCGGGTGCTGTCCCTCATCTGCGTCGTGTATGGGACGTCATGGCTGGAGGTGCACACATCTCACACTGGGAGAGGAAAGCCTGTGAGGTACCCTGAGTTCAATATTTTTTCCCTTTGAGCCAGGGTCTCACTCCGTTGCTCAGGCTGGAGTGCAGTGGTACATTCACAGCTCACCGCAGCCTCAACCTCTTGGGCTCAGGTGATCCTTCTGCCTCAGCCTCCCAAGTAGCTGGCACTACAGGTGTGCACCACCACACCCATAATACTTTTTTTATTTTCTGTAGAGATGAGGTCTTGCTATGTTGCCTTGGTTGGTCTCAAACTCCTGGGCTCAAGCAATCTTTCCATCTCGGCCTCCCAAAGTGCTGGGATTCCAGGTGTGAGCCACTGCACGCGGCCAGTTTGCAGTATTGACTGACATGCCGAGTGTCTTGAACCCATGTGCCCATGGTTTGGCTACCGAGTGAACAGGAAGTGTTTTTTGTTTTTTCGTTTTTTTTTTAGTTGGAGTCTCATTCTGTCACCCAGACTGGAGTGCAGTGGCATGCTCCCGGCCACCACAGCCTCAACCTGCTGGGCTCTGGTAATCCTTCCGCCTCACCCTTCCAAGTAGCCAGAACTACAGGCACGTGCTACCACGCCCAGTTAATTTTTTATTTATTGTAGAGACAAGGTCTCGCCAAGTTGCCCAGGCTGGTGCCCCTGAGCTCAGGCAATCCTCTTGCCTTGGCCTCCCAAAGTGCTGGGATTACAGGTTGAGCCACTGAGCTCGGCCAACAGCAAGTATTTTTTTTTTTTTTTGAGTTGGAGTCTCACTCTGTAGCCCAGACT